GGGGGCTAGCCACAAAAACTGTTCTGGGAACAAGAGCGAACCACAGGCGGCCCAATCTCGCAAGGGTCAGTATAGACTTATAGTATAAATGTATATTATATTATATTATATTAATGTATATTATAGTAAAAATATGTCGTAAAATATAGATTTGAAATGAAATTGACTTGCCTATTTGATAGTGTGTGTTCTCCTTTTATTCCTCCTTTGTTGTTACTAGTATACATGAATGTATACTAGTAACATCGAGTACAAAGTCTCGGAAAATATTAGTCCAACAAAGGAGGAATAAAAGGAGAACACACACTATCAAATAGGCAAGTCAATTTCATTTTAAAATTTATATTTTACGACATATTTTTACTATAATATACATTAATATAATATAATATAATATAATATAATATAATATAATATAATATAATATAATATAATATACATTTATACTATAAGTCTATACTGACCCTTGCGAGATTGGGCCGCCTGTGAGCGAACGAATTTTTAATGCGATTCCACAGTTCGGTGACTTTCGTAATGGATTAAGTTTAAATGTAACCTGAGTATCAGGCTCTATTTTACAAATAAGAGCCTGACACAAACCTTAATCCGATCGCTTTCCGCCCACAGCAAAGTTCATATTTAATATCCAATCAAAATGTCGCAGGAGAAATTTAAATTTCATACAACGACAATAACAATCTAATTATAGTTGTGATCACTATCAATTTATCAAGGACAATAGTATAATCTAATTAGCACCATGGATAATAAAATAAATGGATAGGACTCTTGCTGACGTAAGCAAAAACAACCTAGTTGCAATCTGTGACCACGGTTCTATTAACCGTGCTGTGACGTTTATTATCCATGTTAGCATTAACCAATCAAATTACAGATTAAATTACAGATCTTTTGTCTAATAGACCAATCAGATTTACAACCGTAATACGGTTGTAATGCATGGACTTTTGTTAAGATTTGTATCAGGCCTATTTATTTATTAATAGGCCTGATCGCAGGTTAGTTAAAATGCAGAAGTGGAACTAGCCCGCGTGCAGGCCCAAGGGAGCAGGCTCAAGGGAACTTGATAGTGGACCTGCAAGCAAGGCCCGGTATTTTGTACTTTCCGCGTTCGACCACGAACGCGGCATTCCGATTGGCTGTTTGCTGTTAGATTCTATAATTAGATAAGTGATTCATCACAAAGGCTCTCGATAAGCTTAAAATTCGAAAATTGATCACTTTTTTCGATTATAAATGGAACAAGAACAGACTGTTTATTGTTTACTTGAAGGAAGAGATGTTTTTGCCGTTATGTCAATGGGGATTGCTTGTCGTGAGGTGTTGGAATAGCACTCATTACGACTGGGGTAAACTATAGTAACCTTTACTTGAGTTTCATTAATTTCAAACAGACTTGATACGTTATATGACTTATATGTTCCTCATCTTTTGGTTGATGTTGAGATGCAGTTTCATGTAAGCCTATTCGAAACACTTTGCAATTTACAAGGCTTCGCTGAGAGAGCGAAACAGAAGACGGTATTAAATTGCCGTTTGAAACGAAACGATCTGGACTCTGAACGCTCTCTTCTTTTGTAGAGTTCTTTACCAAATGAAATAACTGAAATAAATTTCGTACTTTCCGCCGCCAACAAGAATTGCACACATGATCTGATAAGTGAGACAATTTATTTATAACAATGGCAATTACACATTGCTTATGTTCTCAATGAGCAGAGAAAACCCCGCAACATTTTAATGCGAGTTTGTTTGTTAATATTTGGGTGCTGTCATTGGTTATTTTTTGACAATTGACGCGCGAATGGGGCGTGTTATGAAAAGGGGCGTTTTACAAAATACCGGGCCTTGCTTGCAGGCCCACTATCAGTTCCCTTGGGCCTGCACGCGGGCTAAAGTGGAACGGAACGGATATAGACCATGGGATTCACAACAAGTGAGTTTCACAAAGAGGGACCAAACAAAACCAAATTAAATCGTCCTATCAAGGCCTATGTTACGCGAAACTGGCAGGTAACAAGTCCAAATACCCGGCTTTTTGATAAAAATAACCCAATGTGTGATTTCGCTTATTAGCTAAGACAAGTGAGCCAAGAAATGCTCATATCACGATCTTTGAATGATCATATTTTTTTTTACTAATTCCTCAAACAACTTCAATTATAGTTTAAAAGCACTAGAACGACTCGCGATTATGATAGAAGATATATTTTACACTCCATGAATGGTGAAAACAAAGTTTTGGCACAAAAACCCCTAAAATATCAATAATTCAATGCCTACTCGAATTTTTCTTTACTCAGCCCAAGTTTTATTAAATTTAGATCGATCAGATAGCTTGTGGTTTATGTATTTAAGATTGAATTTTTTTAATTAAGGTAACTAAGACACAATAAGCGGAAAATCGAGTGTAGAATTCACACTGTATATAGTATAAAATATCTTTATTTTATCAACACACTTTGTTTACTATCTACAAATATTTTTCGTTCGATCGAGAGACCTAATATCGTTCTAACATGATGTTTATCATAAATTAGTTGTCTGACCAAGCCGCTGACCAGGTTATATTTTTTCCCTTACAAGGCACCCCCCCCCCCCCCCAGTGCGGTAACGTCTTGGTAAGCGTACCGTACGGCCAGAACGTGTCGTTAAAGATGGTGTTGGCAGTACCGTTGGCAAGAGTGGTTCAATTGCATCGGGAGAAACAGGTGTCATGGGATGTGTTGTTGGCTTGAGCGGTGGGTCGTTCCTTTTCTCAAGGAATGCTGGCTTGAGCCTGTTGATAGAGACTGTATCACGGCACCCATTCGTGTTGAGCGTAAAGAACTTGTCAGTGCGTTGGATGACTAGGAATGGGCCGTCGTAGGGTCGTTGGAACGCACTTTTGACTGCAT